GAATGCTGGATAAGTAAGGCATCGCATATAGCTTGTTTATGTTTGCTTACTTGATCTTAAATCCACAATGCTCAGCCACAGGACGATATGGATACTTTGTACCTTCTCCACAAAAGCACATAGCTCTTGTTGTATCACACTTACTCGGGCATATAGAAACGACCCATCGACCATAGGGTAGATCAGGAGTTACTGGATAGTTGCAAGCTAAATACAGTGTCTCTGAACACTGTTCCCCTATGCCATGAAAACAACCATCATTATTGGGTATGTATAAAAAAAAATTCTGCTGCAACAAAAATACCTGAAATTATATTTACTGGCCACAATGAGATTTTATGCTAGCTTAAGTAAATTTCATTTAATTGAGTCAATCAACAAATCTTAAAATGGAATAAAGTGCACATTGAGACCTTATAAGGAATAAAAACACTAACCACTGTATCCATGAAAACATCGACACTGTCCAAGTTCATGATTGCAAACCCCTTGACCGTTGCAATCATTTTTGCAGACCTTCCCACCAATAATCTGCAACAAGATTGTCAAAATAGCACCCACTTAGCACAACTATCATAGTATCATAAACTATCTCACACCAAATATCTTGCATACAGAATTACAGATATGAATTGAACCACAAACGAAACATGATACACTTGCATAGAAAATAAATACCATCACAATATACAATAATCAACAATACTTCAAAGTTTAAACCGACTAAATCTTCCAATTCAAGAAGATACTATTGTAAGGAATAATACCTCAGTGACATTTATTGCCTTAACAACCGAATCACAACCGGAAAGCCACTGCCCAACCTCGGCCTTCCACGGAGCACCACGGTAAACAACTGCCTTATGCAAATCAGCCGGAAATCGACAGGCCAAGTCGAGACCCGTTAGGAAAGCTCCAGCATTATGCTGAGTGTCATTTTTGGTTGATATATTTGATGAAATACATGTAGTTTGAGCTTGTTTTATACTAAAATAATCTAGTGTAGGTTTGTAAGGTAACCAAAAGAATTGAACTAGAAAGACTAACAATATTACTAACCCAATAACAGCAATAAGTGACCAAGAACAATTCTTTTTTTGCATCACCAACATTTTCCTAAACACTAATTTCTCAATAAAACTACTATATTCTTCTCATAATAATATAATTGACCAAATCACTGTATCAGTAATCAAATTGTAAAACCATTTATTATGTATATTCAAATTTTTAGCATATTAAAAAAAAAATTAAGAATATGCTCCTCCTGGAAAATGTAAGTTGATTAAATGGGTATCTCCAAATTATCTTAATTACAGGAAAATAACATAAATTTCCCAAAAAAAAATTGAAGTTAATTACAATTGGCCAATTAGAAAAACAGGGGTAAGCGCAAAATTAAAGAAATTTGAATAAAAAAATTAGCAAGAAACTGACCTGAAGATCTGAAAATGGTTAATGGGTAGAATGTATATGAGGGTAAATATGAAATTTTAGAGGAATCTTATAATAAATTAAGAAAAAAGCAAAATTTAATCAAGTTTTCTAAAAATGAATTGAATACTTGGTATGAACTATGTGCACCTAACCCCAAAAATGTCCCAGAAAAAATCGCAATGATCTGAAGGTAGCAAAACGGTGTTTGAAGTGGGATGCTACTAGTGACTAGTGTCCAAAGCTGTAAATCGCAATTGATTGATGATTGCATAATTGTTTATTGGGTTTTTCTACGTACTAACCCTTTTTTTTTTCACTTGCCCTAACATATATCACTTTCTACCTTGTAACCCCAATGTATTTTTTGTTTCCATACGGTAAGCTTGTCGTTATCTTGCCGTTAAAAAATTCCGTTAATGGGGCACAACGTATAAAAATATATTGGGGTTACATTGTAGAAAGTGATATATATTGGGGCACAACGTAGAAAAATGAAAAAAAAAACAGGTTACTATATAGAAAAACCCTTGTTTATTTTCTTGTAGTTTTTTTAGGGTTTTTCTACATGATAACCCTCCAACTTTCGGTTTTCTACGATGTGCCCCCCCTTTTTGAGAAATCTACACGGTAACCTTAAAATACATTTAGATTCTATACGGTAACCTTGTTGTTATCTTGCCATTAACAAATTCCGTTAGTGGGTCCTACTCACCATTTAATAATATTTTTTTACTGATTTGCGTGTTAGAAATGGTTCGGTTAAAGGTTTTGAGGGGTATTTTGGCCCTAAAGGGTCCAAATTGAGCTCAGATTTCACAAAAAAAATGACGCACATGTCTTGTTTTACGTATTAAATACGTAAAACGCAAATCGAGACATTTTTTAATATGGAAAATGAGGCATTTGTGTTATTAGTTTGCTAAATCTGAGCTCAATTTGGATCTTTTAGGGCCAAAATACCCCTCAAAACCTTTAACGGAACCATTTCTAACACGCAAATCGATAAAAAATATTATTAAATGGTGAGTAGGCCCCACTAACGCAATTTGTTAACGGCAAGGTTACCGTATAGAAGCTAAATATATTTTAAGGTTACAGTGTAGATTTCTCAAAAAGGGAGGGCACATCGTAGAAAACAGAAAGTTGGAGGGTTATCATGTAGAAAAACCCTTTTTTTTTCTTTTTTTTTTATGTATTTGGAATCTTGCTAATTGCGATTCTCTTCATCAATACATTGATCTGGCAATCGAATCGTTCAAGTTAGACCAAGCTCGGGTCGGGAAGAATAGGCTTATTTTGGATTTCGAGTTAACTGAAAATCGGATTGGGTCGGAAATCTAGTTTATACTTCGGGTCAACTCAGGTTAGTAAGGTTACTTAGGTCGGGTCATTTCAAATCAGGTTAGAGCTTTCCTCCCGATTCCAAGAGATCCTATGATCGATTCTCACTCCCGCCCTTGTGGCTTTTTAAACACCAAAAAAAAAAAAAAAAAAAAAAAAACTTTAGGTCGGGTCACTTCAAATCAGGTTAATTTTCAAGTGAGGGAAATTTCAAGTCGGGTCAAATTTGAGTCATTCAGGACTTTGGTGAATATTGAATCAAGTACTATATTTTTTTTTGGTGGAAATGTAATTGTTAATGTTAATACGAAGTATTGTTTGTAAGAAATATGCCTTGAATCTGATTTTGGGTCTTGGAGTAGCGAGCTATAACACACGAGGTAACTTTTAGTAGTTTGCAAGAAAGTTGAAGGGTTGCGATGAATTGGGAGCTATAGCTCCTATGTGAGTGAGCTAGAGCTCACATAAGACGGGCTTACGGCTAGGTCGAGCGAGAGCTTTGTCGCTCGCAAGTGTGAAACAATTTTGGAAGTTGTGCCCGATAAGGTGCGTGCAACTCTCAAATTAAGTTACGAGCTCATTTACCACTAAAGAGGTCAACGTGCTTTCGTAACTTTTGTGTATGTAGAACAATTGATATATTTACACTAGACTACTGGAGTATTATATATTTTACCTATGGCTGTATGTAGAACCGTTCATATAGATCCAACCATTCAAAAAGTCCTTCAATTATCTCTCTTTAAATTTCAATTTTACAAGTTTTTATAGTTGAACTTGATCTTTAATGGTTGAATTTTGTGTGCTTATTGTTATTCTTTTAGAGTTATTGCACCCAAAATGAAGCCAAAGGAAGAATTGGAGGAGAGAGAAGGCATGGGAGAAAGAATTATGGCTAAAAGGAGTTAAGATTGAAGAAAATACAAGTTTATAACCTTTAACGTTCATGTTTATCAAGAGGTATTTATGTAATTGACATATAAGATATAACGTCTATTAACTGCCGCTAGTACCTTACTTTCCCTCACTCTCCTTGGTTTTCTCTCTCCTCCTTTAGCTTGCAATTTCAATGGCGGAAAGTACATCACTTCACTACGACATCTATCGAACAAGATGAATTCAGTGAAGGAAAAGCTTACTTACCCTTTAAACCATACTCTTCATTCTTCCTTTGTTATTCAGTTCGCTACAGGAAATGGTAGTGCTAAGACAAAATCAAAGAAGGTTAGAAAACTCACTTATCCTTTAGAATTAACCTAGTGGATAGAATAGGGACCCCCGGATCAAAGGTTCAAAGCCGATTATTCTTGGAGTGAGACTTTCTTTTTTCAAGCGGCTGACACAGTAGTTCTTTTTTTCCTCCGTCAGGTCTGCCCCTTCTTTCTATCCTTAATAAGAGTGTCATCCATAACTTACTTTTTTTATTTGCCATGCTTCTTGTTGAAAGGAGGTATAAGGCTAAAAAGACTAGTGTGACATAATCTTCCAGTTCTCATTCGAGAATAGGATGTCGAATCGGATGGATGGGCTTAATATAACATATAGCTACATCACGCTCGAAAGTGAAAAAAGAACTCTTGGTTTCAGAAATATGCCCTTTATTTCACCCTTTATTATTTGGGTTTTCGTTTTTATAAAATGGTTAAGAAGAGGGTGTGGATTGAAGGAAGAAGATAAAAGTGGGTCAGAGGAAGAAAAAAATGAGCAAAAGGAAGAAGGTGAACCAGCTGAAGAAGGTGAACCATAATTATTCCCAAAACTACCATCCACCTTGTCACAATGGCAACAAATACTAATAATAAATATTTTTAATCAATAAGCACAACTTTCAATGCAACTTAAATGCCATTTAATAAACTAAATCCGTTTATCTCTATGATAAAGTGGGTCTTGCTAATTGAAATTGTTAAGTCATATACTTTGTATTTTGTATTGATAAGTAAGAGTCATGGCCTTATGGAAGATACATTGTTGTTAATATAGTGATTGGACTAACGTTGAGTTCAGTCTTACAAATCGCTAAGTCTTTTTTTTTTTAAACCATCTTCTGTAATTTATATATGTTGAAAAATATATTCTCATAAAAATTTACCAAATGACAAACATGTTTATGAGTTTATCTAATTCAATAACTCGTGTATGATAAGATTACCGTCCTATTATTAAGGGGAATGGAGGGAGCAACAAGAGTTGGTGACCATCCATCTCCCACCGTATTGTCATTTACTCACAAATTCTGTTACACACTTACACAGTTACACCTTCCCAAGTTCATTAAATTTTGGCAACCATATCATATTCATACCGTACCATTACCATACCAGTTTTTTATCACCCTCAATCAATTATCATTATTTACTCGCAAACTACTCACATATATTCTCTCTCCTCCTCAAATCGCATTGCTCTTCTTCTACCTCCCTCCTTCTTCCTCTTCTTCGTGCAAATCTACTGAGTATTGGCGGTTTTCTTCGAACGAGGTCCGCCAATGGCGATTCCAGCTGTGGCTGTGATGGTACCTATGGGCCTACTCTTCTTCATTTCTGGCTTCATCGTTAATGTTATTCAGGTACTTCATTTTCTCGATCTATCGGATTTTTTAATTTTTATTTTCTGTTTTTTTCGGTGAATTTTCGACGTTCGTTTTTTTTTTTCCGTTTTGTTTGATCTCAGTTACTACTCTGTGCTGCTATTATTGTAATTTGTTTTTTTTTTTTGGTTAATTTTTGTTTTTGTTGTAGTTTGATTTTTGAATTTTTAGGTTTTTTGAGTTGAGCTTTGGAATAATCGCCTAATTTGAATAAGTGAAATTTGAAGAATTTGAGTTTTTTTTGCTCCAATTTAGGGTTTCAGCAATCTAATGAGTTTTTAAATTAGTTGTAATTTCTACTGATTTGTATAAATAAGAAAAATTAATTGTTTAATGGTTTGTTTAATCAAATTTGGGTTTGAGATGTGAGTATATGATGTAAAGATCTATTTATTAGTTATTTTAATCTTCATTGGATGAAAATGATACCGTTTAATCAATACGATGGTTGTTACAAATTTTCTCAAGAATTTTGCGTAGTTTTATAGCGTTATTAGAAATATCCGGTAAATTAGTAAGAGTATGATCTGTTTTATGTTAATCAGTAGTAGTAAATATATCGATAGTGTGGCAGCAGATTATTTCCGGAACAATGGGTCCTATATAAGTGTTATGTTTTCTTTCAGGCAACTTGCTTTATTTTTGTACGGCCACTGTCAAAGAATACATACAGAAGGATCAACAGATTTGTTGCGGAATTGTTGTGGCTTGAGCTTGTGTGGATCGTCGATTGGTGGGCTGGGGTTCAGGTGATTCTTATGATGATGTGATATCTTGCACTTGCTAAAAATGTGTTGATAGTTAATGGCTTCAGCTTGTGTGGATCATCTCTTTTTTTTTTTGATAGAAAACTGATGCTTTCTACTGTAGTAGGTTAGTAAACAAACTAGTGAAAGACACTCAAATCTCAGCCTATTTGAGTTTTTAGTGTAATACACTTATACATGTTCAGCTAAAAATATTTATATATGGTAGAGTAAATAAATTGATTGAATCATATGTCAATACAGAACAATATTTTGTGCTAAACATTCTTTTGAGAATAATCAGTATTGAAAGTGGTGGCTAGAGTTGAAGGTTTTAAAATTTAGAAAAACACACCCTGGTCTTCTCAATGAGCATGTAAGAATGCCATTTTTGCGGGTAAAGTGTTGAACTAGTCGGTTATTCAGTCATATATGCGTGTATATGTTGGAGGAGCAAAGTGCTTTTTTATGTTTTTTTTTTGAAGCTAAATGTAGAAATAACAATGTTTCTTAGGTCAGCTGCTCAGTGGTATTGTTTAGGCAAGTCCTTATTTCTCAACATGAATTAGTACGACATACTCCCTCTGATCCCTTTTTTTTTCCAACCCCCACCCCCCTCTTTTTTTTTTATTAAGAGCTAGCTGAAAGAAAAAGAAAGGGACTATTACTTTTATTAACAAAGTTGTAAGGAGAGAGAACTGGTCTAATCAAAAGGCGAACCAACCATCCCCAAACCTTCCAGCCTCCATCCATCACCACCATTAAAAAAAGCCTTCTTTCTTCTGCCCACCATCAAACTTCAGCAACCATTGTCACCCATCCCACCATGAAAACCAAAGCCACAAGCAACAATTACTTTCTGGTTATTATAGTTATCACAACCACAATTTGTAATTTTTTTATAAAATTTCTATAGATCTAGAAATGTTGGTGGTGAGGGGGTTGGTAGGACAAATTTAGGTGAATGGAAGAGAGAAATTTGAGTGAAGGACAGAGGGAGTGAAACGTGACAGTGGTGGTGAGGAGAGAGAAAGTGGTGGTGGTGGATGGGTCTGTAGCTTAATTTATTTTTAAAAGAGGGTGGTGGATACGATGGGGCATAAGGGTGATGTTGGTGAATTTGGTGGGCCAATGGGTGAATCTGGTTGGCTGCTGGGGGTAGTAAATCTGGTGGGCAGGTAGGGGTGGATGTAGAACTGTAGGAGTGGTGAAATTGGTGTTTCGATGGGGGTGGAGGTAGAGGTGGTGGAGAAGGTGGGAGTGGATGTGTTGAACCAGGTAGCCGTGAGGGTGGAAAGAGAATAGGTTATAGTGTTTTTTTTTTTTGAAAAAAGAATAGGTTAGTGTTTTGATAATGGTGAGCTGTCTAAATTAGAGAGTGTAATTCAATAATAAAACATATTAAAGCTCACTTATGTAGTGGGGACCATGACCTAAAATAGAATGGAGTAATCTACAAGGGACGAACCAGAATGACATATGGGGCAAACAAATAGGGACAGAGGGAGTAGTGCTCTATGATGGGAAGATTTTATGGATGAGTTCAGAGTTTGTCATTTTAAACAGAAGTAGTGTGTGTGTGTGTTAATGCTATTAATGGCAAGGAGCTGGAGCTGGAGCTGGAGTGCAGGACAGTACTACAAATTTGAGATGTCGGGAATTGGGTTGTGGAGATTGAGACATGTAAATATTCAACAGAGAGATCGTAGATAGGTGGCCTTGACAGTATGTTTCATGTTGACATGATGCTGATTGATATTGATGCAGATAGCTATGATTTATATCCAAGTGGTGAGGAAATTTATGGTTGAATTTTCTTCTGGTTTTTAGCAGTTAATTAATACAAGGTGAAAAGGACAAATTGTCTTTCTGGATATATATCCTTTTAACAACATTGAATACTTGAATTTGAAAATTGTAGTGAGAGTTTAGAGCCGAAGTTTTCCCGTCTTAGGCTCTGTTGTGTTCAACTGTGTAGAAACAAGAATCAGCAAATATAGATTCATTTTGAAATTTACTCAAGTTCTTATGTTAATTTGAATAATGTATATTATGTTGTGTAACCTCTGTTATTCCATCTAACCAAGTCGGTCCTTCTAAACATTCAACAACTTGCTTAAAACGTTGCTTCTGTCAAACTTTATGTGCAACAATCCACTAGTCGCAGAGGAAAAGAAGAGGGGGGGGGGGAGGGTTGACTCTTGTTTACTAGTATTATCATTACTATAGAGTATAATCTGTTCAGTTTACACATTTTCACTAATATAATCATTACTATATGATATAATCTATTCAGTTGGAGTGTTGGACACACCTTGATATACTAGTAAGGAGTAAGAGGTTGCCCCCGTGGTTCCATACAAATTTTCTCATGAAATAGTTGAAAGAAAGTGAGAGGTTGGAGAGATGTGAAGTAGGAAATTTTACATGACAGAAAAGGACTCATGTTACCAATTTGAGAATAATCTAATGGGATCCTATATGACAATGTTTTTATCTGTTATGTAAATTAAAATTTTATGGTCCATTGAAAGGTTATTTATTCCTATATTGGTTACATGGGAGCTGATATGGGGTTTATATAGGACTATGGGCTTTTGTCCCCTTGGCTAGCTTTTGGGGGTGTTTATCTTGTGTCCTGCAGTAATGGTATCATAGCCGACCACCATTACTTTGCGTCCTTGTGCGACTGATGTAAGTGACTCTGATGCTTCTCTGATACTAGGAACCCTCTCTATACCTTCTTTCTTCTGCGTAGCACAAAGCCTTACTGTAAACAGGGGTGTTGTGCTATGGACCATTGCAAGGTTATGAGACTCAAGTCCCACACCGGTCATATCGCGGAGGGAGGGGGTGACATGGTTTACATAAGGACTGTGGGCTCTCCTTCCCTTGAGCTTGTTTTTGGGGATGGTTATTCTGTGATCCCAAAATCAGGTCAAAGTTTACAAGATAGATTCTGACCACATCACATCATATGAACTTTAGATCAATACCTGCAAAGACCTCAACCTTGGCTCATCAACAGTAAATCTGATTCACCTACGGTTTGCAAATATAAATTCACTTTTATTATATTCAAGTTACTTCCTTAAATGATAAACTATATATTCAGAAACTTAATGATATTTGTATTTGCTTGGCCTCCTGTTACATTGTTTCTTAGACAGTAAACCTTGATTTTATGGGATTTCTGCTACTTTGTTTTCTTAAGTAATTCCGCGTCGTACTATATGGCTCTGCGCAAAGCATTGATTGCTATGATATATGACAGTGATTAAAATTTAATTCATTGGCTTCTGTTATGCAGATCAAAGTTTTCACAGATCCTGCGACATTTCAGCAAATGGGTATGTGCGAAATCATTTAGAACTCTTGTTTACTTATTATTAAGACAATTAAGTTATTATATATGTTACAAGGATTCATGTGAGAATCACTGCTAGGAGTAAGATTCATTGTTGGAACATAAATATTTTCTCTGTGTACCATTGAACATTGCATAGGTGGTCAATTTTAGTTTCTTGAAATTCATCAGTTTTCAAAAAGCTCTAAGCTGTCAATTGTTTCGTGACTCTTCAACCTTTGTCTGAATTGACCATTACCTAGTATTCAATAGGGCCATTACTCTACTTATCCAAGTGCAAAGAATCAACAAGCTCATTACACATGCTAGAAAGAAGGGGAAGAACAATATGGTGATTGGTAAATAGAATTATGGACACCTAAGAGTTTGTTACTGGAATGTAAAGGGAAGCGAAGGAAATATTCCATGAGTTTTTATACAGGAGTAGATAACTATAATGAGGGAAATGATGTTATAAGCAACTTTAGCAGGTTATGAACGAGTACAAAGATAACCCTAGAAGAAATGACAGTAGAGGTGAAGTCAAACAGCAGTTGGACAGAAGCTCTCTAACCTCAAGTGCACCTTTTGTGCTCAAGTTGCTTATACCTCCAGAACCTCTTTTGCAGCCATTGTTGATCACTTATTTTTTTTATGCTTCTATTGTTCTTTGCAAAAATTTAGGGCAGACCAACTTTGAATTTATGATAATTTTGGCGTCATGTGTAGATGAACCATAGGTTTAAAATATTCAGGAATCTAGAAAGTCACAAAAAGTGAGACCCTGAAGGAAAGTATAGCTGGACAGGAATTCATCAACTATATCTTCAGGTTCATATATTAGGACGCCTTGAGTTGGCAACTGACCCGACTACGCGATTGAGCACGGGTTTCTTAGATGACAAAGTTTTTTGATGCAAGTCTTAGGTGACAAAGTTACCAAGAGTAAAACCAAACTTTAAGAATCCATATAGCTAAATCTAATACTCCTTCTGTTCCATTAAAAAATCGTATTCTCTTGGGCACTTAATTTTAGGAGAGTATTAGTGTTTGGGTTTTGTTTTGCATAAGTGAATTAAAAAGTAAGGTAGAGAGTTTACTATATTTCAATTGAGGAGAGATAAAGTGGGTACCATAATGATTTAATGTAGTAGATAGAAGATGTAAAAAATAAAGGAGGGGAAACAAATCAATTTTATAAGCAAAGCCAATTTAAGGGAGAAGAGCAACTTTTTTTTGCGGGACTAGCATTTAGAGAGAAGTGGGAAGTTTTTTGTAGGAAGGTGGGAGTACCTACTAATGATGGATCTTTGTTCCATTTTATAATGTTCTACTGATGATGTTCCATCATTTGAGGGTGAAGCCCAATTTTGACGAGGGAAGAATGATAAATTGTCTTATCTTGTAAATATCCAATTCCTAGCTCTTTTTGGCAATGGATCATGTGCATGAGGGTTTAATGAATCCTTAATCTTCTTTTTCAGTGTTCATATATGTGTAATTAGACTAAGAGTGGGCATTGGTATATACTATATATTATGTCATGATATTAGTTATTTTATATTATGAAGTTGTTGTATTCTCCAAGTTAAATTATTAGCGTATCAGTAGTGTTTGAATGTTTTTTATTTTTTTTCTTGTGTCATGAGTAACCTGCTATTTAAATTAGGTATTTCTTTGGCAATATCTCTAACTTTATAAAGAGAACATTGGACTTTGAGAGACCGAGGGGTCGTAACTGTAAAGACTCCCCCCCCCCCCAAAAAAAAAAAAAAAAAAAAAATTAAAAAAACACGAATTTAGTCAAAACAACTAGGAAAAATGTGACAATATGAGTTTGAGATTGGATACTTGTGTTTGGGATTTTGAACGTCTAGTAAGCTAATCTCATCAATTCTTTAAATGATATTAAGTTTCTTTGATGTATATATACCGGAATCTTGGTTTTTGTGCTGTGTTTTTGATATGAACAATTAATCAGACTTTCTGCTCATTTACTCATTTGCTGTATCGCAGGAAAGGAGCATGCACTAGTAGTGTCAAACCATAAGAGTGACATTGATTGGCTGGTGGGATGGGTGTTAGCTCAGGCAAGTATTTCTAATGCTGAATTTCAAGCATATATTGCTCCATAATCCAGATTTAGTCAACATAGACCTCCATTTTTGGATTCTTACTCATATGTTAATAGTTCAATGTTATAATTTAGGACATAAGAGTATGGTACATACTTTTTGCCCCTTAGCTGATCTTGCATACTTGTGACAGCGAGCAGGTTGCCTTGGTAGCACATTAGCTGTTATGAAGAAATCATCAAAGTTGCTTCCGGTATGTAATCAAACATGCATTGCTTCTATGCTATGAATGCTAGATAACAAGTCATAAAATAGTTGCTATTTTTTCCTCGTGTTGTGATATCTATCATCTTGTCAGTATTATATGCAAGTTGATGCAAGTGAAAAACCAATAAGTTCGATGTGCATCATTCTGATAAATGCTTTTTTGTGTACTCATTTTGTATTGCCTTTTGCTGATTTGGTATGTCACCATTGTCACGTCATTATAGTTTGTTGATAAAGTGTGGGAGCAACATATGTTACTCAGTCTTTCAAGTTTTGGATTTGTTGTGCTAATATGATTTGTGTGTTGTGTTAGATTGTTACTTAGTCTTTCAAGTTTTGGATATGTTGGGAGTGTCTTATATGAATTTGTTAAGCTTCTTGGTTTTTGTTATTTTTGGTAGATTATATAAATGTAATGAAGCATATCCTTTTAATCATGGCTACTATAGTTATCATGGTTATTATAGTAATTAGACAGATTGGTAAAATCATAGAAAAAATTGCGGATGCGGTCAAGATTGTGGTAACAGCCGCGTTGTCGCGAGAACGGCTTGTAACGGACAAATATAACGGATTGCGGAACCGCGGTGTGAATTTTTTGAATAAATTTACATTAATGGATTAAGTGGTGTTTATAGTCTTTAAGTTAAAAATGTTTTCTTTGAACATAAAATAACCGTATTTATCAAAATAAAAGCAGGTAACATATTTGGTGAATAAAAATTGCTAAATATCATGTTTTATAGACACTAATCAATTTCTAATATATTAAACGGATGTAATGGGCTAAAAAACGTTTCAACGCGGCGAGTCACCGTTACAGAACGGATGATGCGGGGGTGAAATATGTGATTTTTGTTGCGGCGTTATATAACGGGGTTTTGCGGAATGTCAAATCCAAAATCCGTTGCATAACGGCCGTTATATAACGGAACGGCTGAGTTTTAATTCCATATAAAACTGTTGAAGTATTAGATATGGACTGTATATCCAATTTCAACTGAAAATGCAGCCAGATGTTCGGAGGATTAAAAATTAGAAAAGCTGATTCAAGCTATTTTATGTACCTGCGGATAATTTTCCTAATCTGGCTTCTGGCATGATATTTGGACAGTGTTATATTTGAGTCATAGTTTCTCAACTAAAGTTTCTTTTGGACAGGGAGGGTGGAAGTACACTTGCCAATTTATTTCATGGTCTTTGTTTTTTTGGGCTCACATCAATTCCTATGACTACTGAAAAATAAATAATGTTATTATCTTGATTTAGAACTCTGTATCTGTATTCTCCCTATATATACCCTACTAAATATATACCGTTGGATACATTTTTATGTGGCGCTTGTTGTGATATCCTCTAAGTCTAACTTCAATTCTTATATTATTTATCGACCCACTTTGTAACTTAAATGTCCCATATTTCATTTTTGCTTTATTATTTTCGATACCCCCTTTATTATCTTCAGCCCTTTGTTTGAACTCTGTTAGAAATAATACAAATTTGGAAAGCTAATGTCTTTTGATTTTCTTTTAAGCACTCCATTTGTGACAATGGCACAAAACAGGTAAGTGGTAAGTCCTATTGCCTGTTGGATCGCTATTTAAGGATTTCGAACACAAGTTGACTTTCTAGCAGATATTCCAAATATTGTAGTTCTATGGGCCATCTCAAATTCTAAATGATGTCTCTTTTGCTGACCAGATTCACACGTGTCTGTGATTGTGAACACTTCTTTTCAATTCATGTCAAAGTTGAAGATCATGCAATCTAAATCATGGATTTGTATAATTCTTTCGACTCAAATTAAATTTACGAATCCATGATGTAGATTGCATGATCTTCAACTTAGACATAAATTGAAAAGAAGTGTTCACAGTTCAGACACGTAAATTTGGATAAACAAAAAAGACACCATTGAGATGGCCTATAGAACTATAATATTGGGAAATATCTGCCAGAAAAGTCAACCTTTCGTTCTAAATCCTTAAATAACGACCCAACGGGTAATAAGACTTACATGTTTTGTGCCATCATCAGAAATGAAGAGCATTGGCTTTCCAAATTTGTATTATTTCTAACAAAGATATGAACTGTGCATAATGTAGAGAGTATTAAAAAAAAAAAGCAAAAAAGAAACATTGGGACATTAAATTTACAAGTGGGTTGATAAATCTATTATCCGAATTGAAGTTGTCTTGAAGGATATAGCAAAAAGCACCACATAAAGATGTATCCAACTGAAATTCTCGATCAGCTTCATAATTTTTTCTCCTACATTCAGTGATGTTAACAATGTCGGCTCATTCAAATCTCGTTCCTCCTGAAAAATTAAATTTGGCTAAAAATAAAATAAAAGGGTAAGAACTACAAAGGGCTAGGGTGTGTAGCAATCTTCTTTAATAACTACCCTGCTGCCTCAGCATTATTCACACCACCCCTGGCGGCCAATTGTTGGGCTACGACAGCTAATTGCCTCAGTAGTTCACTCCTGCCATCCTAGTTCTCCTTAATTGGTATGAACACTGCCAATTTTGTAAGCCTATCCACAACCCAAATGGTGTCATTACCATTCTTTGACTTGGGTAGACTAGTAACAAAGTCTATCGAGATGCAATCCCATTTCCAGCTTGGGATCTCGAGTGATTTTACTGTCCCTTGATGTCTTTTATGTTCTTCTATATCTATATATATATTTATATGTTTTATGGAATGATGTTCATAAATTTCTGTATGCAGGTAATTGGTTGGTCTATGTGGTTCTCAGAGTATCTTTTCCTTGAGAGAAGCTGGGCCAAGGATGAAAGGACATTAAAGGTATTTCCATATATTGTTGTCTGTTAGAGTGTGCATGTACATTTTAAACTTATTCAAGCACACTTTTATCTCACCTGACTCTTGTGGGTTGTCTGCAGCTAGGTCTTCAACGGCTAAAGGACTATCCTCTGCCTTTCTGGCTGGCTCTTTTTGTTGAGGGCACTCGATTTACACAAGCTAAACTTCTGGCTGCTCAAGAATATGCAGCTTCGACTGGACTCCCAGTTCCTAGAAATGTCTTGATTCCACGTACAAAGGTTTAACATCATTGCTTGATCTATTATAAGTGTAAATTTCATCCTGTAGGTCCTGTAAAGATACACTTGAACAAAATTTATAGACCACCACGGCACCACTCCCCTGTTAAAGTACTGTAGGTACATACCAGTGTCGACACACATGCATTCATGAATGTGTATGATTAGGTTCATGTAAATGTTTTAGCAACTCAAATGATGCTTAACAGTCTCCAAGGTTAACTTTTAGTGAACTACTTCTATCATTAGGCCCCTAGAGTGCTGTGTATGTTTTCAGTGACTGGGTAGTTGTTGTTTTTATGGCTACCCTGTTTAGTTTAAAAATATTTCCTTTCACCCCCACTCGCTTTTGTAACCTTACTCCATAGTTGGATGATGTGAGGGGACAACTTCGGTGAGGAAAAAAAGTATACAGTTTGTTGCCTTGTCCTGTACATTGTTTTTGTGGTCTTGTGTCTTGCTCTCTTCTCTTGCAGGCATTAAGCGTCATAATCAAAGAACCACCTTTGCTGATCATATTCTGTTACTCTTCGTGTAGGGATTTGTTACAGCAGTTAGTCATATGCGTTCCTTTGTCCCAGCAATTTATGATATGACAGTGGCTATTCCAAAAAGTTCACCTCCACCTACAATGCTGAGGCTATTCAAAGGACAGTCCTCTGTGGTAAGCAAAAGTACCTTCATTGCCAGGATTGGTTTTGCAAATATATCATGTTTCTGCTCTGTTAACTTTATGATGCCATACCCTTGCATGAGTTGCATCTAGCTTTTCATTAGAATGTCCGTCAAATGGATAAGTGTTGTTAGCTGGCAGAGACTAGGTGTAGGTGTTTTGCATCCACATCAAGAAGTCGAGAGCCCTAGAACCTTGTTTTATCTCTGGCCATTTTATGTGGCACAGTTTGAGGTTCAGTTGCAGCTTGGAAGGCTTTAATTTAGGCTTGTTTGGAGAGGTGGATGGAAAAGAAAGTAAGGGAAAGGAATTGAGTGAGTTTCCATCTTTGGTTTCCAAAATTTTATATCGAATTTGGTAGGAAAAGAAAAGAAGCTTATAAAGTTTCCTCTTTCCTATCCTTCTAGTATTGGGGAAGTACTAAGAGATTTTTTTTTCCCCTAAGATGTGAACCTAATTTTCCCTTCCCTCTTTTTAATTGTTTTCCCATCACTTCCTTTCCTTCACTAAAAGAGTAAAATAGTGGCACCACATGTTTTGATTAAAGTAATGAGAATAGTGGGACCACATGTTTTTGATTGGGGAGTTAAGTAATAAGACCATATGTCCTCAATGGAATGGAGCAGTTTTTGGGGACTTTTCAAAAAGGAATAGAGTGCATTGTAAGAGAAGGGAGTATATACTAATTGTTCTGCTCAACACATTGAACTCACTAACCACCATAAGCTGCATGGTTTTTTTGCTATGGCTTTGGGTTAGAGTGTTTGCTGAGTGTACTTCAAAGTTTATTATTGTCTTTGATTAACACAGGTTCATGTGCATATCAAGCGGCATAATATGCAAGATCTGCCTGAAACAGATGATGATGTTGCACAGTGGTGTAAAGATGCTTTTGTAGCCAAGGTATGAAATGCTGGGCACTAATTATTCTACTTGTGTGTGCTGAATATTCATGGCCTTTTATTTCGCTTGCATTATTTTTGTTGAAGAATTGAGTTGCTTCATTGGCTTAATTATTTGAACAGGATGCGTTGTTGGATAAACATAAAGCTGATGATACTTTTGGAGATCAACACCTTCAAGATAGTGGGCGACCATTGAAGTCTCTTGTGGTATGTAGTAAAAGTTTAAAGCCTTCCTCTGACTGTCTGCTGATTATTAAAAGTGGTGATGACTCCTTTCTTTTTGGTGAAATTGCAGGTGGTTACTATTTGGGCAGTTACCATTATTTTGGGATCGATAAAATTTCTACAGTGGTCATCTCTCCTGTCCACATGGAAAGGGATTGCCTTTTCAGCTGTAGGATTGGGAATAATTACTATTCTCATGCAAATATTGATACAATTCAGTCAGTCAGAGCGTTCAACTCCAGCGAGGCAGCAAAGGTAGTCCCGGCAAAGGCAAAAACCACTGGAGACTCATCTTCTGACTCAAAACGAGATAAGCATCACTGAAAGATTAGCTTTGTTCATTCGATTATCACTTATTATTTGATTTTTCTAAAACACAAGTGATATATGCTAGTACATGTATCTTACTCATTATAGCTTGGGTTCAGATCTGTTCATGGCTTCATGCTCTCATTTATCTGTTCAAAATATGTATTCTACACTATATACTATAAATATTGTTATTTTTGTACGGTCATCAATCATTTTTAGGATGATATGGTAATGGTAGGTCCATGAAAAAAATTGGATACTGATTTTAGCACTTAAATTTGACGGCATTGGTTTAGTGCTCCTTATTCCCTTTAGCCCTTTTGCCTCTTTGCTTTATTTTGTAATACCTACTATTTTTGGGTGAGAGCATATGAGCCCTGAAGGTGTAATGTACTCTATAAATCAATGATGTTTATACCTTTTAATATGGTCTACTCATGTGGGCAAAAGAGCGATGCTCGTTGTCCCAGGCTTGGAAAGGTTGAGGTTGCACTTAGACATGGTTTGGAGCTAACGCAGCCTTGACTTTGTACTTGGGTATGGCTTGGTCACTTGATGTTAGGCTTGAGGTTTGGCATGAACATAGATTTAATTTTTGTTATAGCTGTTTTTTCCTTGTTTTTCTCAATTTAAATTATTTTATTTAATACGTGTGTTTTTCTCTAGTCTTTTATGTCAAAATGTGTATGGAATAGATCATTACGAGTATAATAGAAAAATTAATTCTGCACATTACTTTTTGTTTATTTCAGATTTTTTTTTAAAAAAAATTATACTCTGTGAATTGGCCTAACAAATACTCCGTAAAAAATAAAGTCACCGTATTAATAATTACTTGTATGTAATTTTATTTTTTCGGTTTTTGCTTATTGATTCAGTTTATTTTATCCGCCTCTCAATATTCTTTTCATAGATTTTTTGTATTTATTTCTGTAATTTACATCTAATTGATTGGAGTTGGTCAGATAAAATTTGTAGAATATTAGATATTTTATTTATGTATTTATTTATTATTTTTCTTCCTTCAATTGATGGGATTATGCCTATCAAAATTTGTTTGATAAGATAAAATCTGTAGAATATTCTTTTTAGGTCTCTGACTCCTTGCTCCCTAAGTCATCGTATGTAGTATTAGAATCAAGTCAAGATAAAAATTTCATCTCTGAGGCTCCAATTCAATTCTATTAATTGCAACATCTCTTCCAAAGAAAATAATGAAAAAAACTACAGGTGAAGGCCAAAGTCGAAGACGCCGTGATGATCAAAACGATGATAACTCACCTGGCGTGATGTCAAGAAATACAAGGTCACAACCCGAAAGACGTCAAAGAAAAACAAGGTCACAACCCAGAAGATGTCAACGTGATAAAAACATTGGTAACTTACCAGGGGTGATACCAAGAAAATTAAGGTCACGTAGACGAGACAGCCCCAGTTTGAAGAAAGATGTGAAATCGAGTGAAGTTGAAACAACGATGTCAAATTCTTCCTCCGTAGGTGAACAAGACATATCACAAAAATTAAATTTCCTTCCGTGGACGCCAGGACCAATTCCAGAAATTGATAGTTTGATGGATACAAATTTGTTTGTTAATTTTTTTAGTGATATACCTGAATTTTAAACATTATAACATACCTATTGATGAATGTTAAAAGATGTTTTTTCCAAGAATTATTTACCGAGTTATGGACTTTACAAGTGAGCTAATTTATTTCATAAATTTTTGAGTCTAACACTTGGATCAATTCAAATCTGTTATGTGTTTTATTTGTTTGTGTACTCTATATATAAGAAAGACACTTTATCCATAAAATTAAACAAAATTTTAATTCTTCCTAATGGATAGTTCAATTCGTACAAAAACTAAGAATAAACTATGCTACAATTAGCAATTTGCAGTTTTGCACAACATAGTGTGGCAATAATATCTTACCTTCAAAGGCTGATGATTTTATTTTTATAATTAATATAAAATTTTTGATTTAAAATAAATTGCAATTCTTTTTTATTTTTTCATGGGCTAAAATATAACATTTTTTTATGTGATGTTCTAAAATTAATCTTACGTGGCATAATTCTATTATAAGTTTTATAATTATTAATCTACGTGCCGGTTTTTTTTATTATAGCGCTTGAAAAACACTAATCTTAAATGGCATAATCTGATGGTAGCGTTTTTATCAAAATTAATCCTAAGTAGCGCTCTAATAATTTTTTAAAAATTAAACTTTTAGGTGACGCTCTAAAAACTCGGGAAAAAACTATCCTTTATAAGAGATGCCCAGATGATGATAGAATTTTAGTATAAATTTTTTGATTAAATGTTAAATACAGTCATATAATATACTTTTTTTTTTGTTATATATATGTATATGCATGATATTCAGACGTGCAATAGCATATCGCTTATTTGTATTATAATGTACTTTTTTTTTGATAAAATAATAGTGTACTTTTTAAAAATATGTTTAATTTATCAAACAAGATTATTCAAATAATATAAAATAAGATATTCATGTTATTATTAATTGAAATTACTTTTATTGAATTTAAATTACTTTACTGAATTGAAAGTATTTTACTAAACTAAAATTATTATTATTGATTATTAAAACTAATTTAATCCTCTATAAATTTTGTAAATTAATTAAATGTAAGAAAAATTGCTCCATTAATCTGAACTTTGCCTCGTCCGCCCAAATTAATTCGAACTTTCGATTATTATCTATCACACCCAACTTTAGAGGGTATTAATTTCTATTGCACCCAATAGGTCATCCAACCTGATGTAACAGGTTACCTAGACACGTGTCAACATGTGATAGGTAAAAAAAAAAAATTAAAAAAAAGAAAAAAAAAAGAAAAACAAAAATTTAAAAAAAAAACTACCAAACCCAGCCCCCTGTCCCGGAAAATACTCCATCACCACCCCTACCCCCCTGGAAATTCGCCCCCACCCCAAAAAACCCCTCCCCCGCTGCCGAAAACTGTCGCCCAGCCACCCCTTCCCTTCCCCTACCCCCGAAAACCCCTCCCCAGCAGCCCGACAACCTGCGAAAACCCCTCCTCCCCCTCAAAAACCTCTCCCCAGCAGCCCAGCCACAAAATCGGCCACAAACGGTGGATGTGGTGTTCCCCGGCTGTCGCAACCCCCATCCCTACTCTAAACCCTAACCCTGCCGCAGCACCTTTGTTTCTTGCTGGTTTGGCCGGCGTTAGCATTTGGGTTTGGCCGACGTTAGCGTTTGGGTGTTGTGGGCTGATTCGCGGCAATGAGAGATGGGGTTTGGATTTGGTCTGGGGTGTCGCCGGCGTATTAGGGTACTAGGATGGTGGTTGCATCGGTGGTGTTCGTGTGGTGGTGGATGTGGTGTTCGTGTAGTGGGGCAGCTGCTGGGTTGATTTTATTTATTTATTTATTTTTACATGTTTTCTTTATTTTTTTATTTTCTCTATTTTTTTCCAACCAATTACATATTGACACGTGTGAAAAAAAAAAAAAATCACAAATGTTTACCTGATTTACCGGTTGCAAGTCATTTGGGTGTAATAAAAATTAATACCCCCTAAAGTTGGGAGTGATAGATAATAATCGAAAGTTCGGATTAATTTGGGCGGACGAGGCAAAGTTAAGATTAAATGGGAGCAATTTTTCCTTAAATATATTATAAATGAATCTTATTTTAAAGAACTTCTAAAAACGAGTTTTATGATGGAAATAAAACTGAGTTATAGGACATTTATTAAAAAATTTTGATTAATTTTGGGAAATTTTTGATTTTAACACCTCACAAAAACCCGAAAATGGTTTTTAACAACCCAATAAAAAATATTATTTTAACACCACACAAATTTTCAAAAAATGGGTATTACCACCACTTAACGTGTCGCTTTACTATTGGCCAAAAAAAGAAAAAAAAAAATTTTAAAAAAAGAAAAATTAAAAAATCTTAAACTACCCCAGCCACCCTAGCCTCACCACTGCGCCACCACCGCCCTCCCCAACCCATCACTGCCTTCCCCAACCCACCACCGGCGGCACATCTGCTCTGCCTCCCTCTCCCAACCCACCTGAACGCCCCCTTCCCTCTCCCGCGCAGCAACCATTTCGCCCCCAAAAACCACCAAACCCACAACCCTCAACGACCACGAATCCACCTAAACAGCCATGATTTCGGCAACAAATGGCCGAAATATGTCGGTTAATGCCACTAAGCCCCAAAATTGGCCGATTTCGGCCATTTGTGGCCGAATTCGTGGCCGTTTTGGAAGGAGGGTTTTGGGGGCGAAGCGATTGCGATAAGGGAGGGGAAGGGTTCAGATGGCTTAGGGGTGCGAATGCGTCCCCGGTGGTGGGTTCAGGGAGGGCAGTGGTGGCGTTGTAATGGTGGCTGACTGTGTAATACCCCGTATTTTTATACGTATTTTATTTAAAAGATGTATTTTATAAAGTATTTAAATAATTTTAATATTTTAATTATGGAATTTTAACTAATATTTTTTATAAAAGGAAAGTTTATATAATTTCTTTATTTATAGAAGTTGGGGTTTTATTTTAAGAAAGTTTAATTTTAACAAGTTTTATTAGGGAAGGGATTAGGAAAAACTAAAAGAGGAAAGTTTAGGGAAAGAGGGATTGATTGAGAAGGGGTATAAATATCCCACTTATGAGGCAAATCAACTTTGCCCAGAGTGGAGAAAACCCAAGGTAAACTTCTCTCTCTCTCCTCCTTATTTTTCTTTCTTTTTCTTTTCCCCCTTCCCCTTTTTTTTCGGCTTCTCTTTGCTTTCCCCACCGCTGCCAGCAGCGTCAGCCGCCGGCAGCAGGTGGCCGCCGCTGCCAGCAGCCGGCAGTCGGTGGCTTCCTCCTCTTTCCCCTTTTTTTTTTCGAGCAAATAAAAAAAAAACTTAACTTTATTGTTTTAATTTAATCTATGCTTAAATCTAATTGTAATTATGAGTTTTGGGATTTGATTTTTGATGTTTGATTATAATTATTATGTTAATTAATTTTCAGATTTTATTTTTATTAAAAAGCCCCAATTTTTGAAACCCTAGGTTCTTGATTTATGAATTATTGAAGGGTTATGATGTATATTGGTTTAGATCTTTGTTTTAAGAGTTTTAAGGCTTAATTACAGCAAGCTTTAATTAAAATAAAGTGCTGGAATTTTATGTAGAACACTTAATATTATGTTTCTTGAAGGAATTTTAATTACCCATTAATTGGGACTTAATTATGGTGTTTTAAATATAATTTCAGCTTACTTTAATTAAATTATGAGGGGTTTTAAAATAGTATATATTGCTGAAAATTTGTTTAGAGTGGATTTTAATACTCTATTATGATTTTAATGTGTAGGAGACTTCGAAGTAAGCAATTTCTACTAGTCTTGGCGATTTTAAGATCGTACTCAAGGTACG